ATAAATTGGTGCCTGTTGGTGGTGCTGTGTATAATGGTGGCGGCAATGATGATGGAGACGCAATTTCATTTGGATTTAAATGAATGGTGATTGCACTATATACCTCTGCTTATTGCGAGTTCAGCACACACGCGACCATTGTAAGTGGAATTTCTGGTTTTCATTGGCAAATAACCTATAAATTTGAATGATATAGAACGGAAAGAATAAAATAGAACATTTGTAGCAATAACGTTTAACTGTCGCCAAAGAGAATGCGTGTGGACAAATGGCTTCCAATCAGGTTCAATCTATATATGGGTCGTATTCGATCAAATTTATTTATATACTTATGTTGCATTCGAAATTTCATCACATTTTACGATAAATAGACCGCATTAATCACTTGCTTGAAAATTATGATGCAAACAATTTCCGTGTGGTATTCTTTAAATGCTGATAAATCATGCATATTCGTTTCATTGGAATTATTGCCACTTTTGTACATATGATACATATCAAGTTCACTGAGTTCGTTTCACGTAATAAATAGCAGATTGAACATCTGTTGGGGATGTAATTAAAGGTAGAACCATCCGTAGACGAATCCTAAAAAGGTGCTTTTACATTATACACCAAGAGATCAAAGCAAAGGTGACCTGCAATTAATAATGTGCTTTGGGAACAAGCACATCGTCGCCATGAAAGAACAAAATGCCAAAGAAAATGTACGACACCGAACATAATCCACGAATTTAGCGAATGTATACGCATCGACAGTGTAATGTTAGCGACGTTGTGTAGCATCATGAAAGTGATTCATCCTTATTCAAAAGCATTGCGAGAGTATGGGTGTGCCGTGCCTTGACTGTATGTATGGTGATAAATTCGACACGAATAATCTCTTTTAATATCCGCACCTATTCAGCATAAAAATTTGAACGTCATTCCGTTGCTTGAGTGTAAATTTGGTTGTAATTCCCACAAGTACGCATATTCAGTGAGCCGACTTTCTGCGGACCCAAAATCCACTTCATACTTTTTGATTGTTTTTTAAATGCAAATCTCATGGCAATTCCATTGCTCAGTCCAAATACCATATAAGCCATGTAGACGTGTCGATTGTATGGTGAAAATTGTTTATGCGAGTGTCGTTTATCGAGGCCGCACCAAATGACATCAAGTAAGTCAGAATATAATACATCATCACATGAGATAAATATTATTAGTCTTATGGTAAATATTTTGTATAGTAATGGCCAATGAAAAAAGCATTTATTACACACAATGATATCTTCATGAGCGCATTCAATTAATCATGATGGGAAAATAAATATTTGTTTATGACAAAGTCCCTGTAATACTTGATTGGGAAAACTGACACAAGCCAACAATGATGACCGTATCGGTCGACATCGACCACCACTTTAAATACCACGCTCCATAAATTCGCTTTTTTATGTTCTTTATACTCGAACCGAAATTAAAATAATCTTCAAATATATTCAAGAAGAAACCAACACTTTTACGATATATATTTTACGATATGCATCCGCGTTATCATGGGCAATTATAGTGTGAAATGGAATGAATGCACTCATTAATGGAGACGATAGTTCATGGTTCATTTTAGGACCTCTCTTTATTGATGACATGAAAAAAAAAATGAAGAAAAGTAAATATGAGCTGGCCAGAATGATAGTTTGCTTTGTATTTGGTCGATACGTATATGGGACAGCAATATTGTGTCATAAAAAAATGATCAAACCGATAGTTTGAACTGACTTGTTGGATCCGGTGCAATTTTATACCGAGAGCTTGGTTCCATTAGAATCGATTAAATAATTTTTTGAGAAAAACCGACAAGACAATAATTCATTGCATGCCACGTCACTGACGATCAATTTATCAATTTTACATTAACTGTCAAATATTTAAATTGATAATAGCCATAGCGAAGCTACTCCAACACTTGGTCGCAATTTAAAATGTGTGGCACATACTGTGGAATTATTAATTTGATGTCAAGACAAAAATGTGTAGTTGTTCTATGTATGGATGTGGGGCTTTCCGCTATCCTTAAATGTAAAAAAAATGTAAATGATAAAGAATGTTTGTCATTCTTCACATGTGTGCATGTTAAACCCCAAGACATTCCGGACATTCCATTCTTGGAATGAAAATTTGCAATCTTCTCGCATTTGTAAATGTATTCACAAAATTGATGGAGATACGTTGTATTTTTTTTTACTTTTGGCTCATTCATTTTTCAGTGACTTTCAAAGTCACAGCACTATTGTGCAATTGATAAAGTGCATGAATTATGCCATATGTGTTGCTTTACTTATTCAAATAGTTCTTATTTATTTGATGCATTCACCGAAGGGCAATCGCACTTTGAATACTGCAGTTGTGCTGCTCTCTGACATTTATAAGTTCAACCCTATGTAAAGACATTGCTTTCCACTTCTTCTTCATTTGCAAGAAGCATGTGCTTTATAGCAGCTTAACTTTGAGATACCAGGTGGAAGCACATCTGCGTGTTCGAAACCCAATAAATTGCTTTAAATGGAGTGCGAGCAGAGCGTGGCATTCACAATGCTGTTGCATATGAAAGGCTTTTCGTTCGTAATATTTTCGACCGAACGATTATGGTTGCAATGATGAATTGAACGAAAGATGTATTAATAGAAGAGCCATTTGGTTCGGTATTGAAGCCACTATGGCAACGAATGCTTGTGAAAGATCAAAGTGAAAGACAAAAGTTGTCACGATCGTAGATGCATATTTAGAACAAATCTCGCTTAGAATACATTTGCAGAGAATGAATTTTCTCAGTTACAGTCAATATGCAACACATATACGTACGTAAACACATGCTGTGAATTTAGTGCATTCAAAAGTAATCCGTACTTCGTATGCTCGCCATGCATTTATGCATTCATGCTTTCGTTGTGAAAAAAAGGAGCAAGAGAAACAGAGAAAAAGGTCGAGAGAAAATAAAACGTGATGTCGCTCGGTTTGGCACCGATGTCGTTTGCACACAATATTTGTTTGCATTTTGTGTCGATACCGTTGCCACGATAAATACTGATTGATATCTACATTTTACATGTACTACAAATGTTTCGGTATTATAAGCTATTTGCTCAAGATTTTCACTAATATGACAATATTGCGTGTTTTCTTCCACACACACACAACTCTAATCCAGATTAAACAAGTTGACATTTGACATCGTTATTTTATTCACATCGCTTGTGCATTCTCTCAATCTCACACTCTCTCTAATTCTTTCTTTCGGGCAATGTCCATTGTGTACAACAAATTGAATTTAAAAAAAGGAAAAACAAAAAGAAGTCCACTATCATTTGCATATTATGTATGCCATAGTAATCAATTGAAATCAGCAGAAAACTATTAATTTGAAATTATCAATTTTGAAATAATCAGCAAATTACAACGTTTAATTTACGAGAATTATCGATTATATTTGTGCATAATAATTATTAGTATATAATTAATATACTCGATCAGCAGAAAATTTGTCGCACACAGTCCGGTTTGTAGCTAATTAATATTCGATTAAGCCATAATGTATTTGTGGGGCAAGCATTTGTGATACTTCACCGTTATACCATTATGCACGTATTTACTTAGCGCACATTTCTGTTTCACGGTTCAAATGCACTCAACCAAATTTTAATATCCTTTCATTTACCGCATTCGATCCACTCGAAAATTTAATACATCTCGTTGGTTGTCATTGTTTTGGTCTATGTTCATATGTTATCGAATCTATTTATCGATAAACAAATTGAGTTTATTTATTTGTAATTGGCAAATAAATCAAATTTTTGTTTTTAAATTACGCTTTGCACACATGTTGCCATCAAATCCAATTTTCACGCTTTGTCGCCGCATACAAATGTTGCCTCGGCATTTCAGACTATACATACCCTTACCCATTGTATACACAAACGAGAGTTTTACCTGAAGCAACATATCAAAATCGATAACTAATTGTGTCCATAAACGTGTAATTCTTCAAAGCTGCATCGAAAACAGTTGTGAGTGGGCTTCGAATAGATTTTTAGCGAAGGTCTTCGTTTGTATCATGTTGATTAGTCTACTGTGGCTAATGAAATCAGTGGACGTTAATCTCAATTCAATTTGATTCTGATCGGATTTTGTGTCTTTTCCACTTCTTTTTTTATTCATCGTCGAAAAGGGCAACAACGATATTGCCAACAACATTTGGCCGACGTTCCGGCACACATGTGTTGAAGCGTATTGGTATATGTTGAATGAAATGCTTGAAATGAATTGATTAGAACATTCGAGGCAAAATATCAATGCATACAATGGGGTCTATTAAAATGCTGCATCAGCGCACCGTTACGATATGCATACCAATGTATACATGTTATTTTCAACGAATCACATACATTTGTATTGTTTAACTAAATTAATATTTAATTTGATTTTACGTTCATTCTACTCATTTGGAATCGAGAAAATGTTTGGAAACTGAACCAATCGACATGTAGAATAGCTACCATATATATTTTTCGTTTTTGTTTGGTGCGTTTTGTATTGATAGTGTATTGAGTACAATGGGAATTCATATATTAATACATACATATCGGCAAACCGATTTCTGAAAACGCACCACAACAGCAAATTCTTCGGATTAATGCCATTGTGTTGAAAACTGTCGGATTCAGGTTTTATACGATACGATAAATGCTTTTGTGCCACGGTGTTTATCCAAGGCATGGATTTGATGATTGCACTGAACATGACTTTATCGGTGTTATGTGAATTACATTGAGTTAATGCTTTGAGAACAGCATTCGCATCCATATAAACGAAAAATCACACACACAAAAAAACCGAATAATATGGAATTGCATGTTCTTGGGAACCTCACCGAGAAATTTTGTACGAATTCGATTATGTGTTGAAAATAAATAAATAACATCATATTTTTTTCGCTTTATTTCTATTAAATTTTCCAGTCACATAACAAGAACAGCTCAATGGCTACCACCCGCTGAATGCTGGACCCATAATATCGAATACCCGTACGGTTGGGAAAAGGCTATCGATGGAAAAGGAAGACCATACTATGTCAAGTAAGTTTTAATTTTTCAATCCATTTTCTCCAACTTTTTTATTCACTTTATTCGCTCGGTAGTCAATTTTCATTTGGTTTTTCTTTGCATTTCCATTTTCACCATCCATTTTTATATTGCATTTTTAAAATGTGCACCAATGAACGTGTGTTTGTGAATGCGTCACTCCATCCTGTTCTCTTTTTTTCTCCCCATACTTTCCGTATACATACGAGTACAGCAAAATGTATTTATGTTTGCGGTGTTGGCGTAATGTGATTACCTAACACAATACATTTTGTTATTTTCACTGTGTGGCGATTTCCTTAACGGAGTGCGTGTGACATTTCGACGGCTCTTAATGCCACTCTAATGGGTTCGTGTAAACTCTAAAATCTATTGCTACGTAGTTTTCACTGCTTTTTACATGAATTGTTTAGTTGAACTTGCTTCGAGTTAGAAAATTGAAATTCATTCGTGGCTCATCACTTAGATTTTCCGCCCGTAGATCCGATTCATGGACACAAAGTAATATTTATTTGATGCTCATTTCTTTTCTCTGTGTATCTCTTTATTATGTATTTGCTGCTGTTTGCTGTTTGGTGCGCTGATGTTGTTGTTGTCACGTTTGATGCAGTCACTTGAATAAAACCACTACATACGAGGTACCGATATGTTCGCAGTACGAGGACACCAAACCACCTGAACCACGGCTCGTGGTTTTAAATCGTTGCCCAAAAAATGGTTTTGGTTTTGTTGCAGGCAGTGAGAGACCAGTTATCGTCCGATATGTTACGCCCGATGGTCCCAGTGTTAACCATGTAAGTGAAATGATAAATGTATCGATGTATGATGTACGAAAAACAATACATTTTGATAAATTACGATGTGCACAAAATGGCACTTACCACAATCGACAACATTTTAACGAAACGATATCAATTTGATTTATTTGTGCGTTTGTTCCATTACTTTCATCTTTTCAGTTGCAACCAAATGATCAAATACTGGCCGTCAACGGTGAAGATGTAAAGGATGCACCACGAGACCATGTTATATCGCTGGTTCGATCATGTGAAACTCAAGTCAGCCTCTTGGTTTGCCAGCCGGAATCTGTTCAATTTTCGCCAGGTCGTAAATCAACGCTGTTGTCACCTGCACGAAAAGAGAAATTGCGAAACAAACGACCGAGCCGTGTCCGGTTTGCTGAAAGTGTTTGCGTTAATGGTGCTCCATTATTTCCAGTAAGTTTAAACTTCAATTCGACTCGGACACATCAGTGTATGCATATTAAATATTTTCTTTTCATGTTGAAAATTGAATTTTCCGATGTCATTCAATGCTAAATGAATTAAAAATTAGCTTTCTTTTTCATTAAACATTTGGTATTTGAATTTAATGCAAAATCGATACGAACAAATGTTAAAGTAGTATTCATTTTTTGTTTACCTCATAGATTCATTTTACAGATAGCGTTAATATCTTTTTTATTATGTGTGGTTGTTTATAAATTATCTGCCTACAATTTGACGTGTTTACAAGTATCATTCCCGCAGGAGAAACTTTTCATAGAAGATTTTACTATTATTCATTGGATGCGAAGAATTTTTTGGGGGGATAAAAACAGAGCTCGTGGTTTTAGATAACATGAGCTTGCTATTTCTTTTATACGTTATTTTGGTGTGGGTTGATCTCGAGTGTCAGAGATTAATAGAACAAAAGGGCTGCTTGGAAATTCGAAACATTTTTTTTATCGTGTTGGGATTTCAAAATAGCAGAATCTGGATCCGTATAAAATGTGTTAATATTATGATAGTTGAATTTAGCTTAAGCGCAGATGAATGAAAATGGTACTGTTCTCTTCGTGTTTCTCGTAAAATCTTCCGGTTCCGTCGAAAAAGCGTCCAGACTAACCAAAAATTTCACGCAGCAAGTGAAAAAAATATGTATGCAAAAACGGTTTGTGCGTATATACTTGACTACGTTGGCCATTGCTTTGTATTTGACCATGTTTTTGGTTGAGAATATCTTCATCGCAATTTAAATACCGGAAACGTACATTTTTCATGTGCATTTTTAACGTAAAATAACATGGCATAAGATTTACTTTAAAATGTATCGAATTTAAAAAGAGTAAGCCCATAGATTTACGGACTTCAGTCGCATAAAATTCACTTTAATTCCAAGTGTTAACACTTTTATTTGCAATCACTTAAAAAACAGCTCTAAAGCGGCTTTACAAAACACTCAAATAACGAAAAGATAAACCACACATGTTGGTCCTCTGAAACCAAATTAAATGAACCCAAATTCTATATTTAGATAGTAAATAGAAATATATTGAACCCAATTTGTATGTTCTCGTCTTTTTTAATGTTTTGAATGGATACACCGTCATATAGACCATGGTTGACTTACTCAAAATTTGGGACAAGCCGATCTATAAATAATGTGTACGATTCGTATGTTCTTTATCAACCGAATAAAGTATTTCGCCCACAAAATTTGATCGATAAATCGATTTAGCAGTAGTGACGTCGAAGGCTGGCCATGCATTTAGATATGAATTGCATTAGGAGCAATTATTGTCATGCGATACAATAGGCGCCTGTCATTTCTTGGATTTTTCCATACCGAAGATCTAATAGCTTGAGCACACATTGTGGTTGAATGTGCAAGCATTCCGTGACGTGATTTTCCAAATTTCACACTGATGAATTGGAATTCATTTTTTTTTCTAAATATTGACTATGCCCTAGCATATCTATTTCAAATGAAACATAAAACGTAGGCCACAACCTATCTCTATTTCGTGCATCAAAAGTTGCGTTTTTTTATTCAACGAAAAAAAAATACCTTTTTGAAATGTTTCCTCTTCTGCATTGTAAATTACGAATTACTCTAGTGCTAATGAGATTGCTACTTGGCCGCTACCGTAGTAGCAACATAAAAAACCGCAACTTGAAAAATGAGCCTCAATTCCGACCGTTGTTTTGCTACGTTGTTATTTTGCCTATGTGTTTCACACAACACGAAACTTCGTGTCGATGGGCTGATATCCACCACTTTTATGCTACAAACAAAAAATTACTTCTTTTGTTTTGTTTACGTTCCTCGAAGCGCCTGCATGTGAATCATTATTAATATTATTGCAGAGCACAAAAAAAGAACTGTACAAAAACTGGGCAAACAGACGCCGTCCAAGTTTTTTTTTTGCCACATCTCTCAACGGTATAACCAGCAAAATGAATCAACCTACAAATTACACTTGCGTGCTGCGTGCACTTGCCCATTGTGTTGATACGTTTCATCGATTTTTTTTATATTTTTCGCATCAAAATTTACATGTACTACGGTGTTTTCTTCGTCTCCTCTTTATCCCTCAAGTTTTGCCACATTTCAATAGAAACCGCTTTTTTTATTGAGTGTTTGCATATAAAAATATATTTAAAATGTTGTTGAACACTATTAGATAAATATGTAGAACAGAACTTATAAAATTGATTTGATGAATAATTTGTATGTATGTGGGTTCACTCAACCAGTGAAAGCAAAGAAAATAACTACAAGAGAAAAAAAAACGTTTGAGGCAAAGAATTTAATATAAACTTGAATGAAAATTAAATATAAAAGATATATTTCAATAGGTAATCAGCGTATATATGACCCATTTCATGAGTTTTGAGATTTTTTTTCATTTCTCTGCTTCTGAATAGCTTTCAGTTGTTGAAATAATTTTTAACGAAAAAAATATTGGGAGTTTTTATTTTCATATTACTTTGAATCTAGTTGACAAAGACATAATCCCCTTTTAATATCCTTTTCTATTTGCAGCCATCTGCATTTTCATTGGGAGATTTACATGTACCGCAAATGGCAAATGTGCTGAAAGTCTTTTTGGAAAATGGACAAACCAAATCATTCAAATACGATTCAACAACAACAGTCCGGGTGAGTATTTCTCTTTTTTCTTAAATGATACGAATTCAACAAATGTCACACTGTGTCTTTTACATTTGAACCATTTGCATCAGCATCAGTATTGACAAACATTCTCTCATGCAACAAGAAATAAGCGCATTTTCTTTCAGACATTCGGAGTTTGTTGAAATGTTTCATTGCTATTTACTACTTAAAATGAGCGCAACTTGAATTTGAGATAGAGCATCAGATTGCTTACATTTTAAAACTCGATGAAAAACATAGACCAGCAGAAAACTGTCTCCACTCGAGAACTTTGAATTTGATTTTGAATAGTTTCTGTGCGCTTAAAAGCAATGCACCAGAAATTGTAATATATTATTGCAGTTTTCATTTTGTACAAATGCATTTTGATGGCAAATTTCACTGTTACGTTTGCAGTAACTGTAACACACTGACATTATTCGTTCTTCGTTCTGGTTTTTACAACATTCAACCATTCACAATCGAATTCAATGAAATTAAATGTGAATAATTAGAAGCATTTCGAACGAAATGTGTTGCCTCGAATTTTTGCTCATGGTAATTGGATTTGGGTTGAAAGTTGTGTCGTGGTTTTGATTTATAACCAAATGAATGTCTGACGGAAATTGTGTGAAATGTTTGTGTTTTTCTTATTGCAGGAAATATTATTATTATTGTTATTATTATGGTTCAACTAACTGAAATTTCATTGCATTATTGATGATAAACCATATTCATTTTGTTTGCTTTCACATAGGACGTCGTCACATCTTTACGAGATAAATTGTGTTTAAGTGCCGATGAGCATTTCGCACTGGTTCTCGAGCATGTAAAAAGTCTCAAACGGAACAAACTAACACTATTGGATCCAGATGAAACACTGGCACGGGTAAGAATGTTTCTTTCATTTTCATTACGATATAAAACAAACAAACAAAAGCGATGCTCGCCATTACAACGCATCGATGTGAAAACAAGCAATTCACAATGAAATTGATGCTGGTTTTATACCCAAGATGATAGCTGGAATGTCCATGCTTATTATTCCATAAAATATAACAGGATGTGAAGGCGAAAAACAATTAGATTGAACTGACTTTGATTTGATTCCGTAGCAAACAGAGCAATTTTCATTTCTACGAAAAGGATCACTTAATGGAAATCGACCAATTAAATGCAACGTTTATTAGATTATAAGGGTTTTTAGTATACAGATAAATATGTTTTATTGACTTGTCTCTCAGTCTAGAAACATTGCAAAACAATTTAACTGGGAATATTATTGCATCCAGAGTCTTACGCGTTCTGGCATCTTTCGAGATAATACCGACTGAATTGCAATGATAATATTGATTTTATGGCAGTAATTAACTACCGCTTTCCATTCGCTTTTTTTATTAGTTAAATTTTTCCATGGAGAATCTTGAGAATTCTCATTAATTCGCTAGAGAATTTATTTGCCTCCTTGTATAACCTTGTATACCATCGGTTTTTGATCTCTAAAGACGTAATTCATAGCATCTTGATACATTTTCGATCAATATTATTTTCAATCAATGCCAGACATTCATAAAATTGCTCTCCAATGAAATGGATACAGCAATAAGTTTCCAGTTTAAAAGTGGCTCGTCCTTGAAACACCCAAAAACAGTGACCGGTTCGCGCATATTTCTATGCTTGCCTAAATACGCTAGGTAGCATAGATATGCCAAGCATAGCCGCAAACGCAACCGACGCATCGCCGTTCACTCTATATGAACAATACACATGTTCGTTTATGCAGACGACCGTGCGCATACAATATAGCTCGAATCGAATGGCGACGGGTGCGTTGCGGCTTACGTCTCCGCTATGCTTAGCATAGCTATCAGGCATAGAAATATGCGCGAACCGGTCACTGCCCAAAAACCCAAAAGAAGTTTACAGAGAATTCGGTTTTAAAAATGCATGAACAAATAGAAAAATACTAGAAGATGTAATTCTTGGTAAATTGAAAAACGATTACATTAACTTGGGTATCGATAAGAGTTTGAAGTTTTGTAATTGAATCTGAATACGCCGTGTAAATGTTATTTTTATCTCCAAGTCTAATAGATTTATAAAGGTAATTTTGGCATGATTCGAATCTTATATGAAAGAAAGTTGCCCCTATTCTCCGAAAAAAATTGATAAACGATTTAAATTGCAGACATCCGTCGCATAAATATTGATAACATATAGTTTATAAGGTGAAAAGAGCAATTGACATCAATTGCACTGAGACTTTAAGTTGAATGAACTTGATTATGTTTCAATAATAAACATAGATGATGACGTAAAAAATTTTTTAGGGGGAGTGATGGCAAAATTCCGTCAACAATTTGTCGGAAATGAGGATAAAATCGTTTTTTTTTTTGCTCTTCACTTTTTTGACGAAAATCCCTAGCAAATCGAAAGAATTTTTCAACTTCGAATTCCCTTGCAAATCCAAAAAATAATAAGAAAATCGTTTTTTTTTGCTCTTTACTTTTTTGGCGAAAAACCCTAGCAAATCGAAAGAATTTTCTCGGCCAAAAAAAGTGAAGAGCTAAAAAAAGGTCATCATTTCCAAAATTGTTGAGGGTTCCTAAAAATATTTTAAAGGGGGCAATCCGAACCCTAGGAACCCTCGTCATCACCTATGATAATAAATCTTTCGACTCAGATTTTTGCAATATGACTCCTTTCTAAATATTTTTTTCTTCTTTCATCAATTTTGAAATTGATACGTTATTATCAGACAATATATTTAGCAGTCGTCATCTGGATATTAAAGCTCATCTGGATATCGTCAGCAGATGATACAAAGTGAAAACAATAGAAGTGATTGTTATAGGTATATAAGCTTGTTATATACTGGTATTACTATAACAATCACTTCTATTGTTTTCACTTCGCATCATCTGCTGACGGCATCCAGATGAGCTGAAATATCCAGATGACGGCAGCTAAATATATTGTCTGGTTATTATGCATAAACATGACAACAACCAAACAAATTTATCGATCCAATTGATGATTATGCAATCAATTTGATATGACGGGCATAATTTAATACTAGATGCATAGTTTTATAAACAAAAAAAAGTAAACTAAACACATATAACAGCATACATCGCTGATTGTTCGTTTAGTCTATCCACATTTGATTATCGATTAAAATCGAACAATGGAATAACAAGCGGAAAAACAGCACGACGGAAATAAGGAACCTAATTGAATAGGGCATAACGGCAGTGAGTCAGCAATTTTGGTGTTTTTTGCGGTGTGATTTAGCTCGCTACCCACTATTCACCGTTTAATTTGAACGATTTCATTTTGAATCTAATTTTCGTATCTTTTGCATATTTACATTCAACTGGTGATATGGAATCGGTTGTTGGATAACGAGCAGATAGCGGCAAGACCCGGAGCTCATAAGCTACGCTGTTTATTCCGCGTGACATTCGTACCATTATCGGCTGCTGTTTTAGCTCAAAAAGACTTAAATTCATTGGATTATCTGTACATGCAGTGCTGTAATGATGTAACCGTGGAACGTTTCTCGCCCGAACTTACCCCAGATGTTGCACTTCGTTTGGCTGCTCTACAAATTCATCAGCATTCATTAGCTAATAACATCTCACCGGCTAAATTAACTGTTAAAACTGTTGAGTAAGTATTTTTTTTTTGGTTTCAGCTCTTTTCCACTCTTTTTGCACGTAGTTTTTCGCTACACCTGAAATCTGTTTGTATCCTGTTCCTTGTTTCATTTACTTGTTCTTTCTTATTTTCTTATTGTTCTGAATAAATTCAATTTATTAGCGTTTAATTTCTGTTATATTGTTGATACGCCCATTAAAGATTATCCGAGCTTTAATCAAATGGAACAAAATTGAATTAAATTCATTTGAATTTCAATTGTGACTTCGTGGAACATATGCGAAAGTTTTAAATTCAAACGTGTTACTGAAACATATGCTACACGCACATAATATTCTGCTATTAAATTCATTTGGAAAATGATTCGTTTATGGTAGCACATAGTGTTGTACATGTTTGAAATGCAAAAACTTTTGTTTATACGAAAACTCAATCTTAAAACACGTCATTGTGCAGCAATAATAATAATTTAATATTTAGGTATATTAGAAAAGTTTCGGCACAAGACATTTTGATACATCAATAACTACCACAGCAGGCATATATTTGATCACATTGAAATCATCAAATGTAGCATTTTACATTCTTGACGCTTCCATTAGTAAAAACTTTTTTAGCCAAAATCCAAAATGAAAAATTCAAGTTTAAAAAAAAATCGAAGAAAAGTTCTAATTTCATACGTCGAATGCGTTATAAAATTAATTATTTTACTGTTTTGAGTTGGGGGACGAATGTATCAGAAAAGCAATAGTTTTGATGCGTTCCAACTTTTGGTTTGAAAGTTTCGCCAAATTGATTTCATATCGTATGTGAAACCGTACAGTGTTATTATATTTCTAGAAGTTAAGGCAATATGCAAATATCATACTTTGATAACAAGTTCATTTAAGTTTGTTGTGCTAATAATATATTCTGTCAGTTTTTACAACAAAAACAAAGTCTTGAAGTCATTAATTTTCTGTACTTTTTTTTCTTCTGACATCACTAACGAACCTTTCAGAGTGTGCAAATCAATAATATCGTTTTTTGTCGTTTCAGGCGCGAATTTGGTTTGGAGCGTTTTGTGCCAATGTCGCTGTTGGAGAGCATGAAGCGAAAAGAGTTGAGGCGATTAATTGGACACTTTTTAAAGTTGAACCAACAAATGACTGGATCCAGCAAAATGTTAACCCAATTACAGGTGAGGCATAAACGACCATTATTACGTTCATCATCTTTTTATTTTGATGTTTGACATTCCTGACCAAAGTGTTGCATTCAAAAAGCGACGAGGTATTGAACAGCTCAACTCATTGTAATTAAAAACAGTTCGGACTCCAAAGATTTGGTGTTGTAAACAGCGAACAATGTTTTTGATGAACATTAAACGGTAACATTGGCGTTCAAGACATCGTACCATACACCGGCAATGAAAAAGACTGGTTGATTTCTTTTTTTCTTCTATATCGCGCGGAAAACTTTGTTTCGTGAACTTATTGGATATTGCATCGTGCTTAATGTCATTCCGTTTTATTAAATCACTCGTGGCCTGAACGCTTACTGCGTTCAACTGAAGCATTTAAAATTAAATTCGGCTGAGCGTGAAGTTTTCCTACCAACTGCATAAAAACATCCGTACTGCTATCGTTTTGCGCCGGGCAAATTCAATATGAAAGGCATCGTAATGCTTTTTTTCGGCGTTGTTTCCGTCAATCCATTCAACACTTTTATTAATGTTTACTGATTGCCTGTGTCACAATTTGCGTGTTTTTCGGTAAAACAGAGAAATGGTTCCACTGCCAGACAGACACGCTTGTTGTTTTTTTTTTCGTTCTACGTCGTGTGTCGAAAACAAGGACGGATCGAAAAAGGGAAATAAATAGTTGGTGTGTGCTTGGCTCGACCGTTGTCGAATAAGTATCGTTTTCCTCGAGGGAATGATTTCAAGCTGTGCAAAAAATTTGCCAGTTCCCGTCTACTCGTGATAAAATACATTACAATAAATATATTGCAATCGGTATAGATTTTATTGGATTTTTTTTACTATCAATTTCGGTGTGAACAACGACGAAAAAATAGGCATCCGGGCAATATTCCAACGAGCATACATATATATTTGCAGCGGGCTTGCTGTGTTTTAGGTGATGAAAATGCGATTTCGGTGTTTTACACACACACGCACACACTCATGACGAGCATGTGAAATAGAGATCATGATTTGTGCACAAGATAAAATGCGTAGCATCGACACGATAACATCAAACATACAATTGCCGGAGTTCGTTGATTAAAATGAAACCGAATTCCCTGTAGGCAATGGCAATCAGTGAAACATCGATAAATAAAATTGAATTAAGTCGGTAGCAATATAATTGTGAATCGGAACCAGAACTAAACCACACGTTGATTGATTTGGAATTGAAATGGCAGAACATTTTCAACAGTTTGAAATTGCGGCTACTATTTTTTTTGTTCGTTCAGACATTGGCGTCGCTTGTATATTCTTCATAAATACGATCTGGCCATAAATCATATCGTATAAACGATATACGAACTGAGAACAGAATTCAATTATTCAGCCCATTCATCATATTGCATGGGAACTATCAAGTTCAGCGATTGTTGCAAATTATTATCGATCTATATAATAAAACGTGAAAAACATTTAGCCTGAAATTATCGGATGTTTGATGATTATATAGCTCGAGGCGCGATTTTTAATAGCCTCTCTGTTTACATTTGTGTCGTTGTTGACTATTGTATTCAGTTGGGTTTTTTTTCTTTTCAAATTTACTATGCACTTTTTTTGCGAACATGTTCCCGATTTTGCAGCGCATTTTGGCTGCTGAACAAAAACTTTTTCGCTTCATCATAAATGATTTTTTAAGTAGATTTTATGTACATTAAAAACGGCGATGTGAATCAGGCAAATTCGTATTTTTTTTTATAAAAGAAAGCTTATTCTTCGATGTTTTACTTAGTTTTTGAATGTGTCAAAACTTTTGAATCGAGTTTTTCCGTTGAATCGACTGAAAATGAACGAACACGAAAAAAATCAATTCTAATTAGAAATTTTGGTTACAAAAATGTTGACGAAATTCCACAAACTTCGTAATTTTCCTCGAAATTAGACGTTTTGTTCTTGTTTCATTATGAATCTCGGTGCAAAATGAGAGGAATTTTTTTGGACCGATCAACTTGAAATATTAAATTTGGTAAACATTATATTTGGCTGGAATGTCAACATCAAATTAAGGGTGATTTTTTCCTTTCTCTTAAAATATGTATATCAAATATTCTACTTCATTTTAAAGCTATCGAAATCGGCTTAAATTCAATTAATTGTATATTAATGGCGATTAATTTTTTTATTTCCCAAAAAAAACAACTTTTAATGTCGCGACCAACAGGCTAAAATTCATTACCTGGACATAATATCGGGATTGCCGAGCTACGGTGCTAAATGCTTTAGCACGAATGCTCGTGATGGCATCGAAAGAGTCTTATTAGTTAGCCCTCGCTTCGGTCTTAGTCAAATACCGGGAGTCCGAAATTCAGTGGTGAGTATATCATACTTTTAAGCTTTTTTTTACTCGAAACATTTGATACGGTATTGTACAGCAGAGAGTGTACGGGTGCATTGAGTTGGTTTTGACAGCGATGTCGAATATTTTTCATATTGATTTATATGATGTGACAGTTGTGATTGTGCTATGCAAATTTCATATCTAAAATCATCAGCATTATATTTATACGATATGTACATTCAAACAAGCATAAAATTTAGCGCATTTTGGTATTACAAAATATTCATTTCCGTTGAACCTTGCGACAGTTATTTGTAATGAAAATGATGGGCTTTTGAGCACACTAAATTAGATACTGCTAATGGCGATAATTTTGAAAATAAAACGCTCGCACCATTACCGGCACTACGGATCAATGCACGCAAACATTATCAAAATGTTGTTTTTTTTCCACAACCTGCTCTCCAAAACGGCTTGCAAATGTTGCTTTTAACTTATTCGCACTGTTTCAAGCTTCCTTCACTCTTTTCCGCTATCGTTCGCTCTTATTTGGCCTCGGAAAATGTTAAAACTTCGTCTCCGTTCCTCATTACCATCACTCATCTATTTTCGTGAACATTCAAACTGACTTTTATTATGAAATTTTCACATAACGAGCTTTAATTTTGTGCACATCAATGCCAACCACGGCGACGATTGCGACGACAATGACGATGGAAAATACGAAATTGAAAATGGGAACACAAATATTCAAAAGAGTGTTCAGCCAACGAACAGAAAATGACGTGCAATAAGGATTACGCGCAAAATATTCATTGATGCTGAAAAAAAAGGGTGAGATGGATGCGGAGATTATGTGTAAATAAGCGCGCAAATCAATGAAAGCATATTGAGAAGAATGCAATTAATTCCGTAATATTGACAATTCTGACTTAAAATCAAATGATGAGAAAACTTTTCATCAGGTTAAACACTATAGCAAACGGGTTTGACGCTTTTTCCACATCAAAATAATGTCAATAGATTTCACTCAAACTTATCATCATCGAACATAATGACACCGATTTTCATTTTGTCATATCAACGTCATTCATTTGATGGCAATAAGTTTTGCATCACATTCAATGAACAATGTGAATCAACCGAAATGTGACTCAATAAAAATCAGGCCAGATAAAGTAAATTACATTCGCCTCGTGCGCCAACAAGCTTAGATATCGCTGGTGAAAGCATATCCATTTGTATTATTCTCATGAACTGTTCACTTAATTAAAAATATTTCATCAATTCGCGCGGATTTGTCATAAAAATGTCAGAGGCAAAGCAAAAAAACAATTTCATAAATACATCGCATACTGTTATTCACACAATTCTAATGACGACACCATTTTGTGTATTTATGTGGCATATAATAAAACAGACATTAATTATTCAGCTCTTTGGATTTCACTCTGTACATGCTACGTAGTGCCTTAAGCCATAAAACACAAGCCGAATTTAATACAGGCGCTCTATATTCCACAGGGGGAAAAAACAAACAAACCCGTAGAAGCACGCTTGTTGCTTCAGTATGAAGTTGCACAGATTCAAGTTTATTAATTTAATAATCCATCAGAAAAGGTCGGTGTTTGTAAACTGTTGAAGCGAACAGTATGGCACGAAAAAAACGTCGCGATTTTCGCTTTTAATGATTAAATAATTAGTTATCGTTGAATCGATAGCGCCAAGAAAATTCACAAAACCCAAACATTTCCAATCAATTTCAAATTAATAGATTATGCGCACGGAAAAAACATAAATACCATATCACTAGTTTTGAATTGAAAATCGTTTAGTTTTGCTTTCCAGTGAATAATCAATTTTCAATTTCTCATTTGTTTTTGTTTTTTTGTCATTTCAGCCACAAACAATTTGTAGTATAGAAAGCCTAAGTCGATTAGTTATAACGCGTGAAGATGATATTACCCATACCGTTAGTATTTATATGCAACCGGATCGTTTAGTATCATTTATGATGGAAGACCGCGATGCTTTAGAATTCTCACTAGTCCTAGTCGGTTACCATAGACTGTTGACAGGTAAATAAAAATCAAAGCAATTATATAAATGGAAAACACTCACACTCTATCTCGTTTTGCAGGAAAACTATTGCCTATCGATAAACAGTTGATTGAAGAAGAATTGGAGGAAATAGCGCCACCATTTTTAACACAACATTCGGTGCTACCATCAACATGGAATTATTTGCCGCAAGCTCATGGACGTGCACACAACATGCTATTCATAAATCCGCCGCCATATCATTCGGTGACTGCAATCGATATCGCAGCCGAACCGAATCAATGTGATAGAAACATGAATACCACAATGACCAACAACAACCACAAACAGCCAAATGCAATCGATCCATATGGTTTTGATATACACAGCGTTATGACGATGGAAATACTTGAAGGCACTAAAGGAAAACCGATCAATGGACTGATTGAAACACGAAACGAAGAGGTGCTGCGACGGGTGGCTGAAATGCAAAAGATGGTTGAAAATTCGGAAAAATATTTGAACGAACAAGGAGAATTGGTGCACGAGTGTGAAATGAAGACAAACACAAGATTGCCATGGCAGAATATTGATTTCGATAGCGATTGTGACAGTATGAATAGCAGCAAACAATCTTCGAATGAAGATGCACCACCGCCCGGCGTGTTGAAACATAGCGATTCGCTTATTTTGTTAGCTGAATCCATCAATTTAGATTTGAATGGTATTACCAAAGGACTGAATTTAATTGGGGCCAATGGATTCGACAGCGCAAATGGTGGCAATAATTCGCAACAAAATACGCCGAAACCACAACGTAAAGTGCAAGGACTGAGTCAGCTATTGAGTGATTTGCATGCGATCAGCAATGATTTGTCACAAAGCGAAAGTGATTCGGAGTCGATATGCACACCGAATAGTTCACCGATTCATCGTCCGCAGCAGGACCGTAATGCGAAAAAAGTATTCCGAACTAGCTTCGGTCTGCACAGTCCGGACAGTTCAACGCTTGGTCCAGACAATAAAGACACCAATTTACGTGAATATTTGAAGCTACTGAAGGAGGCCAGCAGCAAAGACAGTGCCGACATTGATCTGGCGGCAAAAAAACTGAGCGAATTGTACGGATTTGAGATAGGAGACGATACATTCATCGAATCGGATCCGGATGTAATTGATTTAACCGCAATACCGCCACCTCAAACTCCCGACGAACTGGACTCTTTGAATGTGTTGAATGCCGCACCAACTGGATTTGGCGATAAAACAAGTGACGGTGATTTAGAGAAATTTTTAGCACAAGTTGCAATTCATCCCCCTACACAAAAAATAACTCCGGCCAAAGAATTGACCCCCGAAGAGATTATGTCTTACATTATCCCTCCTCCACCCTGTCTCAGTGACGACGAATTAGATGGTAAAAAATACAAATCAAATTCACATAATGAAGAATCGTTGTACATGAATTCATCGAAAAATGGACAATCATTAGGTGCTACAAACAAAAAGACAACTATTGACTATGCCACTGTTGAACGCAAAGGGCCATTTTCATGTTGTTCGAAAAATAAGAACAACGAAAATGGTACAAGTGTTCCCTTAGCTATGCCCAAAGATCCAAAATTTGAATTGCCACCGCGTAGATGTGAGCATAAATCAAAACCAATTCCACCCGAACGACCACCCAAAAGCAATGAATTACAAGCAAAAATATCGTCGCCCATACGAAAAACCAGCTTGTCCAGTACATTTCGATTGAATGGCGGCGGCAATGGAGTTTATTATGACACATCACCACAAAAAGTTTTCCCACCAATTGCACAGAAGCCAGCATCACCACAATTGATTACACTTCCACCACGCAAACCAAACCTACCACCAGTACCCGTAAAACCGATTTTTAGAAATCCAATCCCACTCCCGAAAATGATGATGAATTCAGATTCACGCATTGCAGGTATTGTATCGCCACGATTCCAACGTCATCCGACCGAATCGGATAAGATAATAATGACAAATGGAAATGGTTGCACAAGCCCACCCATCCAATTATCACCACGCTTAACGAATGGCCATTTTCGATTCAATAATGATAGTCCCAAAGAGAATGGTAGTTCAGTATCCATATTATTTTCACCTCAAATGAATCGTAAACTGAACCATGAAACAATCAAGTCTCCCCCAATTAGTGCAAATGGAAGCCCTTTATTAGAATCGCGTAATGGTCATGTAATTAATGTTGAATCTCTTATGGCAAAAACAGATTTAGCAATGGCTGGACTTTTATTGAAATTGGATCAAATTGCGGCCCAGTGTCAGGCTGCTCAATCGGCCGGCGGCGGTGCCTCAATCGATGAGCAAAAATTCGAAAGAGCACGCAATGAACTCACGGACGCCGCAACACAACTAGTCACATCATCCAAAGCCCTTGTAGTTTCAATGTCATCAAATACTACACCAACCACTCTACCGGAACACTTATCAGCCTGTCTTACCGCTTTGCGTCGCATTACGGAATTAGCACAGGATATGACCAAGCATACATCGTCACCGCTACAAACCAGAAATATTGTGCTAAAGGTGCACGATGTTGCGTCCAGTTTTCGTGAATTGGCAAACGTTCAAATCGGACCACTGGGTGCCGGTGCTCAAGCACTACAAGCAGAATGCCTATCAAATGTGTTGGCCACACTAATTCGGAGCTTACGAGTCTTTTCGCCATAAATTCCACTCACTCATATCACAAATGAGAAGATATTCATTAGTGTTTTTTCTTTTGTTTTCTATTATATAAATACCAATCAATGATATGATCAAACACACACACACACATATATATATATATTTAAAAACAAAATGAAAACATTTCACTTTTACCATATCAAATCTATATTTACCTTTCATAAACTATTTACAAATTTATTATGAATCTATTGCTTTGGAAACTAAACAAACACTGACAGTAACATTCGGCAAAACGTTTTTTTCTTCGAATAAATTAAAATTATTCTGTGACAAATTGATAAAACGTTTAATATGGAATATGAAACAAAAATGAAAAAAAAAAAATAATATTGATTATAATTTTAAGGTTAGTTTATTTAGTTCTTAGTGCCTAAATTTTGTTAAAAATATATTTGAGAAATTAGTAAACGGAGAGAAGCGGAGCGAGATTTTTGCATTGATTATAATTGCTTTATTTTGTTGTTTAGTGAATTAAAATGATATAATATGACGTGCAATGATAACGAGAATGTAATTGATGTGCATTCAATGTTAAAAACATGAAACTAGCAAATGAGAGTGAAATCGATAATCAAAACTCATATTGACGTTAAAATAGCTATAAATTGATAAATAATCCTAACTGTTGAATGTTGATCAAGCTCCAATTAACCAAAACCAATATCAAATGTTATTTTCTATGTACATTATTGTTTTTGTTTTACAAATTTAAAGAAAATCAAAATACATTTTTTTTCTTTTATTGTTTCAGCAACAATCATTGTTTTTTCTTTGTAAAATGTGATTTATATTATGCTTTTGATTGATTTCAAATGTTTTGTTTATAGTTTTGGCTACGAGTTTTTGTTTTTTTATGTGTGTCTTAATTTCCGTCCGTTGCAATAGAGTTTGCAAGATTTGAGAATTGAACATTTTTGTCAACGAAAAAACAAACTCGATTATTCACAACTTCAATATTTTCGCAATCTTTTGAGCAATCGAAAAACTTTTTTTTTGATTAAATCCATTTCTTAAAGCGATGATAAAATGCCGGCAATTTCAGTAAATAGGAATTCAAACAAAAAGGCAGTCAATTTATATACTATCGCTCGGAGCGAGTTTTCTTCAACTTTATATCTGCGGAGAGAATTATGTGGCTCAGGTGCAATTGCCGTACAAAAAAGCCATTTCTATATGTTTAATGTCGGTTCATTGCATCAATGCACACATGAGGTTCTATTTTAAAACGGCGAAACCCAGACGTATTACATTACAAACAGTAAAATGAAATATAAATATGCTCGTAGCCATTGCCAAGACAAAACACTTTCAATTAATTATTATTATAGTTTTAATGGATTCAAAATGGAGTTTTATTTTGTTGAATATTTGCAACTAGCGATGCGACAATATGGTTTTTTTCTCTTTAAAATAGAATGTGGAGCATACAAATAAAGAAATTTTCTAAAAATCATTAAATATGTATATTATGGATTTATTCGTACTTTCATATCCGTTTGATTTGTTTGATCAATTTCAATTCGTAATCGAATTCAGTAAAAAGCTTTTCAAAATAAAAAGAAAATAAATGATGAAAAAAACAGGTCAAAAGATATCATAAATTGTTGTTACAAAAAAGGCTAAAAGACAAATACAGTGAATCAACAATAATAATCATTTTAATGGAATTAAAAACCAAACCTTTTCAAACTTGAATAACTCAATAAATAAATGTGCAGAACAAAAATGTCAATGGCGTCTCAAAAAGTTTCTTTGGTTCGTCATATGCTGAAAATATTCGGAATTTAGGTAAGCGCATTGAAGAAGGTAAGTGCATGTGTACAAATAAACGCTTCAAACATTTGTCATTGAAATACTAACCACAATACTCTAAATCAATACACTTAAAATGAAGAATCTTTCGTATTCGAAAGTATCAACTATTATCCATTTTTCAGTGGTGCAAACACTTGATAAAATCGCACCGGTGGTGGAAAAAAAGAGCATTCAATGTAGTGAATGATTGTTATTCAAATTGAAGTGCACTATGGAAGGAACACGTGTTTGTCATTCCATTATCAGAATGTATCGCATGCAATATATCAATTCATTGTACATGCCACATCTGAGTTAAAGCTCACTGACATTGCCGTGAAATTGACTGAAGCGAAACGGAACTTTTCCTCGTGTTGTATAGTAC